TGAGTCCGCAAAAACGTTTTAGGTACGTGTTACAAACATTTTTTTGTTAAAGCTCCCAAAACACGAATTCACAACTCTTATTAATTAAAAAAATTTCGCCACCATAGTGACCAATTTAATTTTTTAGTCCGGAAAAACTCTTTTTTTTTAATACGCTCCCGAAAACAGCTGTTTTAGGGACTCATTTGAGTCCCTAAAATAAGTCTTCCGGACTCAATAAAATAGTACGCAAAACGGTTATTTAAGGTACTCAGTCCCCAAAAACAGTTTTTGCGGACTAAAAAATAATATATTAGAAGAGTTGGGACACTGAATGTCAGTTTTCATATTTTTCTTTTATATACGTCGGCTGACGTATAATAACAATAAAATTGGATACAAATCAGTGGCGTTTCGGCAAAATTTAACAAAWAGTCWAATTAATTTGTCAATTAAAAACTGACCTCTGTCCTCTGTCATTATGACCAAATCTGCMGGGTCCTATTGTGTTAATACATAAAAAAAACTGTAAGTTGTTTTCTGTGCCACGTTGCTCCAYTGCAGGAGACAGTGTAAGACACGTGGAACCTCTTTAAAACTAGTCAACTGGAGTGTGGGCCCCAAAAGTAAAATTTATCAAAAACAAAGGTGAAGCTTTCACATGATCAAGGACCATTATTCCGTTGTTTGGAGTGTTTTATTTTATCTACGTTAGGTCAGGTCAAGTCTACTTATTTCGTAAGTTTCAGGTTTTAAAACGTTTTCTGGAAACACTCAAGTTTTTATTACTCATGGTAAATGCTGTATACAACCCACTGTGTACACATAATTTTTTCCTGTCTGGCCGCATCTCAATGTCCATTTATCTCCTACGTCCCTGACCAAATCTGACGTAAAATTATATCAATTTGTCAATGCGACAAAATTTATAACCTTAAAATAATTTTTGAAATAAACTTGACATTAGTTGCTACGAAAAATTTTAATGAAAAAAGATAGAACGTATATACCTTATCCACATAATACAAAATTGGCTCGGTTTGATGTTCAATGTCCCAACTCTTCAAATATAGGAACTCTAGTAAGGTCCAGTTTCATAATAAAATTAAAGGAACTTTAAAATTAATGTTGGTTTAGAATGTGCTGATTCGAATGGACTTGTTGACAAAAATTTCACAATCTAAACCAACATTTTTKTCTTTAATTCGATTATAAAACAGGCCCTAAGATGTGTGAATTCGTGTTTTGGGAYTTTTAATAAAAAAAACTTGTATGCTCCACGTACGCAAAAGGTTTTAGGTGACTCCTCTCATTAAAGACTCGGCTCCTACGTCGCCTCGTCATTAATTACGATTCATTCCTTAAAACCCTATTTTGCGTACTTGATACAGCTTGTTTGTTGACTGAGTACCTAAAATAACCATTTTGCGTACTATTTTATTGAGTCCGGAAAAGACTCATTTTAGGGACTCAAATGAGTCCCTAAAACAGCTGTTTTCGGGAGCGTATACACAAAAAATATATAAATTAATTACTCCATTCTAAARAAAATTAATCTTACAATGTGATAACTTATTTCTCATAATTTAATAATAAAAAAATTGGTTTRTCGCTTCTACAAACACTGTAAGTATAGAATGTTTCAAGGTTTTTATTAACAGATTATAGTTATGCAGTGTGAAGGTTTTTATCAACATATTGTAGTTATGCAGTCTGGAATTTGTGTTTGCAAAACAGATTGAATTTTTTAATACTAAAGTAATAAATACGGTCAGTGCCATAATGTGTTGTTTTAATAAAAAAAATTYTAAATATCACGTCTTGAAAGATACCTGTCAATTTGTTTTTTTTTTTTTTAATTTTTCTGCAACATTTTTATTGTGGTTGTTTGTTTATGTCGATTAAAAACTATATTTCTTCACTTTCTCCACAGGAAGAAGAAGGCGATGGTAGCGGCGCCGGTTCTGATCGCGACTCCGATGCCGAATTCGAGCAGATGTTACAAGAAGCCGARGAACGTAAAGCCAATGCTGCCGCAGCCGCCGCACCCGCAGCCGGGGAAGAGGCCGGTCCTTCTGAAAACGTGGATGACGGTCCACCACAACCCCGTCGAAAGGCTAAAACGAAATTCGGTAACAAAGCTAAAAAGAAGAAAGGCAAGAAAGCCGGCGGCAAACCTGAAGAAGAACACTACGAGCATCAAGATTACTGCGAGGTTTGCCAACAAGGGGGCGAAATTATCCTTTGTGACACCTGTCCGAGAGCGTACCATTTGGTGTGTCTTGATCCAGAACTTGAGGATACTCCTGAGGGAAAATGGAGTTGTCCTCATTGCGAAAACGAGGGTCCTGCTGAGCAGGACGATGATGAGCATCAYGAGTTTTGCAGGATTTGTAAAGATGGCGGAGAGTTACTGTGCTGTGATTCGTGTCCTTCGGCCTATCATACGCATTGTTTGAATCCGCCATTGGTGGAGATTCCTGATGGTGATTGGAAATGTCCCAGGTGTAGTTGTGCACCTTTGAAGGGTAAAATTGCGAAGTTGTTTACCTGGAGGTGGGTTGAGGACCAAAATTCAAATGGAAACGAAGCTGACAAGGACCAAAACGGAAAAAATAAAAAACGGAAGCGGCATCGCGAGTTTTTTGTCAAATGGATGGATTACTCTCATTGGCATTGCAGTTGGGTCTCAGAGCTTCAAATCGAAGTGAACCATCCGTTATTGTATCGAAATTTCGTCCGAAAATATGACATGGAGGAACCTCCAAAACTAGAGGAAAGTTTGGATGAAATGGACCAACGTTCAAAACGCCTACTAAGTCTAGGATGTGACTATAAAGATGCTGAGCTCGAGGAGCGATTTTACCGATACGGTATTAAACCCGAATGGTTGGTGGTGCACCGCATCATCAATCATCGCCAGATGAGAGACGGTCGTACCCTCTATTTYGTCAAATGGAGAGAATTATCGTACGATCAAGCCACTTGGGAGGAAGAAAACGATGAAATTGTAGGCTTYAAACAAGCCATCGAGTATTACATGGATTTGCGAGCGGCGTGTACCCAACAAAACGTCGGAAGTAAGGGTAAAGGGAAAAAAGGGAAGAAATCGAAAACAAGGGAGTTGATGGATGACGAAGATCGAACCACTGCACGTCGCTATACACCGCCTCCAGAAAAACCAATTACCGATTTGAAGAAAAAACTCGATAAACAACCGAATTACTTGGATGAAAGCGGCATGCAATTGCACAATTACCAACTTGAAGGTCTCAATTGGTTGAGATATTCCTGGGGTCAAGGTATTGATACCATTTTGGCCGATGAGATGGGTTTGGGTAAAACCATCCAAACCATCACTTTCTTGTATTCTTTGTACAAGGAAGGACACTGCAAGGGACCGTTTTTGGTTAGTGTACCCTTGTCGACCATCATTAATTGGGAGAGAGAATTTGAAACGTGGGCTCCCGATTTTTATGTTATCACATATGTCGGTATGTTATAGACATTTTACTTGTTTTTATTTTGTTTTATTAATTTTTTCTCTTTACAGGCGATAAAGACTCTCGAGCGGTCATCCGTGAAAACGAATTCAGCTTTGAAGAAAACGTAAGCAAAAGCGGTCGAATATCCCGCGTAAAAGCCAGTTCGATAAAATTCAACGTTTTACTCACAAGTTACGAATTGATTTCAATCGATGCGACTTGTCTTGGCTCAATCGAATGGGCTGTACTTGTCGTCGACGAGGCCCACAGATTAAAAAGCAACCAATCAAAATTTTTCCGACTATTAAATAGCTACAATATCCAATACAAACTTCTCCTTACTGGAACACCACTCCAAAATAATCTCGAAGAGTTATTCCATTTGCTAAACTTCCTCAACAGTCAGAAATTCAACGATCTCGCTACTTTCCAAAACGAATTCGCCGATATTTCGAAAGAAGAACAAGTAAAAAAATTACATGAACTTTTAGGACCTCATATGTTGCGTCGTTTGAAAGCCGACGTCTTGAAGAATATGCCGTCAAAGTCCGAATTTATCGTTCGTGTTGAATTATCGCCAATGCAAAAGAAGTACTACAAGTATATTTTGACTCGTAATTACGAAGCTTTGAATCCGAAAGGGGGCGGCCAATCTGTCTCCCTCCTAAACATTATGATGGATTTGAAAAAATGTTGTAATCACCCTTATTTGTTCCCCGTCGCTGCAGAAGAGGCCCCTATTGGTCCAAATGGCGGCTACGATATTCAAAGTTTGATTAAAGCTTCCGGAAAGTTGGTTTTGTTGGCAAAAATGTTGCGAATTTTGCGCGAACAAGGCCATCGTGTTTTGATTTTCTCACAGATGACGAAAATGTTGGACATTTTGGAAGACTTTCTTGAAGGTGAAGGTTACAAATACGAGCGTATAGATGGCGCAATCACTGGAAGTTCCCGACAGGAAGCTATTGACCGTTTCAACGCCCCCGGTGCCCAACAATTCGTATTTTTGCTCTCAACTCGAGCGGGCGGTTTGGGTATTAATTTAGCTACGGCCGATACTGTTATCATTTATGATTCGGATTGGAACCCACACAATGACATTCAAGCCTTTTCACGCGCCCATCGTATCGGCCAAGCGAATAAAGTGATGATTTATCGATTTGTGACCAGGAATAGTGTCGAAGAGAGGGTCACACAAGTCGCAAAGAGGAAAATGATGTTGACTCACTTGGTCGTAAGACCGGGAATGGGGGGCAAAGGTGCGAATTTCACCAAACAAGAATTGGACGATATCCTTCGGTTTGGTACGGAAGAATTGTTCAAAGAGGATGAAGGGAAAGAAGATGAAGCAATTCATTATGACGATAAAGCAGTTAACGAATTACTAGATCGTACTAAGGAGGGTATCGAGCAGAAGGAAAATTGGGCGAATGAGTATTTGAGTTCATTCAAAGTTGCTAGCTACGTAACAAAAGAAGGTGACAATGAAGAAGAACTCGATACTGAGATTATTAAACAAGAGGCGGAAAATACAGATCCGGCTTATTGGATTAAGCTATTACGTCACCACTACGAACAACAACAGGAAGATATCGCTCGTACATTGGGTAAAGGCAAACGTGTCCGAAAACAAGTTAACTACAATGATGGCGGCATGACAACTGACACACGTGAAGATTCTACGTGGCAGGAGAATCTTTCTGATTATAATTCAGACTTTTCGGCCGGGTCTGATGAAGATAAAGAAGATGATGATTTTGATGAGAAGAATGAAGGTGACCTCAATCGTCGTAGTAGAAGACGAATGGAACGTAAAGATGAACGTGATAGACCATTACCGCCGCTTCTTGCCCGCGTTGGAGGCAATATTGAGGTTCTTGGGTTTAATGCCCGCCAACGAAAGGCATTCCTTAACGCTATCATGCGATACGGTATGCCTCCACAAGACGCCTTCAATTCGCAATGGCTGGTCAGAGATTTGCGTGGCAAATCTGAGAAGAATTTCAAAGCTTATGTATCACTATTTATGCGACATRTGTGTGAACCTGGGGCTGATAATGCTGATACTTTTGCTGATGGAGTTCCAAGAGAAGGTTTGAGTAGACAGCATGTCTTGACCAGAATTGGTGTAATGTCTTTGATACGTAAGAAAGTGCAGGAYTTTGAGCATATTAATGGGGAATATAGCATGCCGGAAGTTATCAAAAAGACGATAATGGATCAGAATAAGTCGAATGAAGCAGAAACACCCAAAAGTGCTACTACTAGTACTAGTGCTACACCAGCGACTAGTGCAGCTGCTAGTCCGGCACCGGTTAAGGATGAAGCAGAGAAAGGAAAGGAAGAAAGTGATGAGAAGGAGAAAGAAGTGAAAACCGACGGTGAGGAGAAAGAAAAAGAGAAGGAGAGTACGCCTGAAGAACCGGCGAAAGAGAAAGAGAGCGAGTCAGTAAAGACGGCTGAGACTAGTGAAACTGAACAAAATCCGGAGGCTAAGACTGAAGAAATTAAATCGGAAACGGTTGAAAAGCAAGAAGAATCCGGGGAGAAGGAAGAAAGTGAAGCTGCAAGTAAGGAACCAACGAAAGAAGATGAAGAAGTGAAAGAAGTTAAAGTTGAAGAGGGTGAGAAAAAAGATGACAAGCCGAAACCGGCTGAAAAGAAAGAAGAGGAAGCTGTAGAAACCCCAGAGGATAAAGATAAAGATAAGGAGAAAGAAAAACCGAAAGAGAAGAAGGAGAAAGATGGTAACGATGTCGACGATGCGAAGAAACGTTTTATGTTTAACATCGCCGATGGTGGTTTTACTGAACTTCACACTTTATGGCTGAATGAGGAAAAAGCCGCTACTCCAGGTCGTGAATATGAAATCTGGCACCGCCGTCACGACTACTGGCTCCTCTCTGGCATAGTAACCCACGGTTACGGCCGCTGGCAAGATATCCAAGCTGACGCCCGTTTCGCCGTCATCAATGAACCCTTCAAAATGGACGTGGGTAAAGGTAACTTCCTCGAAATTAAAAACAAATTCCTTGCGCGTCGATTCAAGCTTCTGGAACAAGCGTTAGTGATTGAGGAGCAGTTGAGACGAGCTGCGTATTTGAATCTGACTCAGGATCCGAATCATCCGGCCATGTCATTGAATGCGAGATTCGCTGAAGTTGAGTGTTTGGCTGAATCGCATCAGCATTTGAGCAAAGAGAGTTTGGCAGGAAATAAGCCGGCTAACGCCGTTTTGCACAAAGTCTTGAATCAGTTGGAGGAGTTGTTGAGTGATATGAAGTCGGACGTGTCGAGGTTGCCGGCCACTTTGGCTAGGATTCCGCCGGTTGCACAGAGGTTGCAGATGTCCGAGAGGAGTATTCTGTCCAGGTTGGCGGCCACGTCGTCGAGTAATAGCCAAACAACAGGTCAGTATTCAAATATTATATACATATTTAGCAAAACTTATAGTAGGAAAATTTTTGTTTTAATTTGTTAATTTTGTCTTGTTATAGCACAAGTGATGAGTCAATTCCCGCCCGGTTTCAATGCGGGTAATCTGCCTGGATTTGCGGCGGCGGCGGCGAACTTTGCCAACTTTAGACCCCAATATTCAGTGCCCGGGCAACCACCAGCGGGTTTCCCATCGTAAAAACGATGAAACTGTTTTTCAGTGTATTATTTTGCTCAGAAGAAGCTCCAAAATGTCTGGCTGTTGGTGTTTTTTGATTAGTGAATTAATTAGCGTCAAAATTGCATTTAATTTATTTTTTAAACAGTCTGTGTCCCCATTTGTTTTAATTTTTTTTAGCATATGGAGTAAACGATTCTACAAAAAAGTATTTTCAATTTTAAAATATTTATTTTATTGTTAAAACGAATTGTTTAGGTTATGTGCTTATTAAGCTGCGGAATGAGGACACAGGGTGAAACTGATTTGTGTATCTTCAGTAGTTTTTAGCAATAGGATATAAAAATGTCCACTTTTTGTGAAGTGGGGTAGGATTTTTTAACTGGTATGTTTATTCTCCAGCATTCCTTAAGTAAGCAAAATAGTAAACACAATTYAAGTGGTAMTTTTATTTATCCAAAAAACAAAATAAAATATAAAAAGTACAAAAGAAAACATTGTCATAAAGTGCAAATTAAGTACGTATTCTGTTAGGCAAATAAGGCACGTTTGTGCTTTAAAAAACCTTATAAAAATTGTAAATTTATATAAAATCTCATTAGGCCGAAGTTGGGGGTGGTGGAGATGACGGAGTGGGGTTAGCACTCCCATTCTCCTGAGACACCCTCCTCTGCATGGCAAGCCTTCTCTGGGCTCTTGCCGCACGTTCGGCTTTTAAAGCTCTTAAAAATGTGTAAAAAAGAAACACACCCAGAGCTTGAAATACGCAACATGAGAAACCCATGATGGCGCCATCAATCAATAAAATCTTCGCATAGCTGGCTAGTGGTTTTTGACAACCCATTTGGTATATTTGCGTACAAGTGGAATTTTGCAGGTCGCTGTTGCAACACGAGAGCGGCAAAACATTCTTTTTCTCGTAGGCTTTGGCCCCATCGTAACCGCAACATTTTAGCTGGAAAAAAAAGTAATGACAGCGGTGGGATTCGAACCCACGCCCTTTCGGACTGGTGCCTAAAACCAGCGCCTTAGACCGCTCGGCCACGCTGCCGGTGATTAAGCCAGCGTGAAAAGTCGAGTCTAAAATTACCTCAGATTCCATTTGAGCCCAATCTTTTTTATCGTAATCATTGTTGAGTAAATCACTGAAGGATTTTTGCATTAATTGCAATGATTCGACATCGACTTCATCCCAYAGAATTATCGACCAAACTCCGACTGCACATTCCGCAACCAATAAAATTACAGTAATTACCATAAACTGGAATTTTTTGAGTTATTTATATCCCAGAGGTTTGTGTTATGATTTGTTACCAAAATAATGTGGATGTCATGTTCGCGAGATGGTCCTTTAATTCCCAACCAGGTGACAAAAAGGTGAACAAACCCAAGCAAAAAGTAGATAATGAAAGGGCCAATAGCACTCGAGGGAATGAATTTAAAATGATGGATCACTTTATAGAAAAGTACAACAGAAAAACCTATTAATAAGACACCTGAAATCTAATTTTGGAGGGCTTAAATTAAGCTAAACCAACAAAGTGGGATACTTACAAACAGCAAAGCTGAATAAAGCAAACACAACAATTCTTTCACTCTGAGTGAAGCCATAACGATTTAAATTAACAAAAATCACAAAAAATTAATAATTTAAGCTGCCACAAGCCATGGTTAAGTTTCTGAACGGTCAACTACGCGAAGAATGGGACAGAAGCGGACCCACTTAAGAAGTGAAACTAAACACAGCCCAAGCCCTGATTTAGCAAGACATGAGAAGGGAGTGTATCAGTAAGGTCAGAAATCCAAATAATTACATTAAAATCGTTATAATATATCAATTTTATTCTAACTTCTATAAATAACCATTGGATCATCCTGCCCCTATTGTTAGATGACCCAACATTCAAATTACGGTTGGCGCCACTGTCACAACAATGCAAAGTGTCAAGATGGCGTCTGTTTTGTTTTGTTTGTTCATTAATGGAATTAATTTCAATTAAAAATAATGTACACTCTTTTGCACGGTTTTTACAAATATCTGGTGCAAAAAGACGAGTATTGTGTCCTAATCCTCGGCCTCGATAACGCCGGAAAAACGGTAAATATGCCAAGAAGTGTTACCAACATCACTGTTTTTTCACTTTTTCAGACTTACCTGGAGGCGGCAAAAACAAAACTTACAAAAAATTACACGGGGATACACCCGAGTAAAATAACTACGACAGTAGGTTTAAATATTGGAAAAATCGAGATTGCGGGCATAAGACTGAATTTCTGGGATTTGGGGGGCCAAACCGAGCTGCAGTCACTGTGGGATAAGGTAAGCTGGTGCTTAGTTTAGTTGAGTTACTTGGGATTGGTTTTAGTATTATGCAGAGTCTCATGCGATTATTTATATTGTGGATTCGTCAGACAGAGACAGGATTGATGAATCAAAAGAAACTTTCGGTTTGTGGTATCAAATTAAACATTCCTTTTGTAATTAATAGCGTTTTAGATAAGATGATAGCCAATGAGAATCTGCGTGGCGTTCCTTTGCTCGTTTTAGCAAATAAGCAAGATATTCCAGAATGTATGGGAGTGCGAGAGGTTAAACCAATATTTAATAAGAACGCCCATTTAATTGGAAAGAGAGATTGTATGGTGATGCCTATCTCTGCCTTAACTGGGTAAAAAGCGACGTTTTTGAGWRCAAAATTTAGTATTTTTTACAGTGACGGTGTTGATGAAGGGATTAAGTGGCTCGTTGATTGTATAAAACGCAACAGTTTCATAAGACCGGCACGCAATCAAGAAGAAAATTGATTTTTATGACACTATTCCTAATCTGTGAATCAACAAACCTAATAAAATAGATAAAATAACTGTGTGAAGTCTTATCTTTTAGTTATCACTTTCTGAACAGGTGTTTACGTTACTGGTCAAAGTTGGGGAAAAATGTACCCGTATTATGAAAGTGAGTGGAGCGTTTTACCCCCTGAATTGAATCGAAGGTAAAAGCTTCTGTTTTATCAAAAAATCAGCAGCTTTTGTGGAAGTGTACCGCTGTTTTTGGTATTTTGTAGTACTGTGGTGGCATTTTTTGTAGCTTATGTTTTTTTTTGTATTGTCGTGTACTGATGTAATAAAATAGGGAAAATACCAATAAATGAATAACAAATTCCATTTTAATGAGTTTTAATCGTTAAACGTTATTTGAGACGTCGACAGGTGTGACGTCACTCACAAGCCGGCCATATTGCAAATGTCTGCTTGTCAAAAAAGTTGAACCAGTGCGATGGTCTAACATTGTACAAGAAAAACAGTTCTTAAATCACTTTTTTAATTTAAACCGAATTTGTGTTGAGCAGTAAGTGAGAAATCGCCGTTATTTCCCCTAATCGAGTGAATTTTGACACTTTGCTGACACCTGTCAAATAAGTGAGGTGTAAAAATTACAGGTGAACATTGTAAATAATTCCTCTTGAACATAACAATTATTTGAAAACGACCTATGTGTATGTGTTGTTTGCTGTTTGATTAAGTTTTTGTGTGTCACTGTGCTAAAAAAACTGAAAGATGAATGCTTCAGAACACGGGTAAATAACCCCCACGAATGAGCTAAATGTGCCCTAATAGCCCTTCATTTCAGGTTCAATCCGGCTTTTAACATGGCCACAATCAAACAAGCCGTTAATGAGGCCATAGAACGAGGTAATTAGCTCGAAGTTTGGTTGTAAAACTCCTTTTAAACCCCTCTTTCAGTTCGAATGCCAACTCCCATGCGATTGCGAGACTTGATTAGACAAATCCGGGCGGCTCGAACTGCAGCTGAAGAACGCAGCGTCGTCAACAAAGAATGCGCTTATATTAGGTCAACATTTCGCGAAGAAGACTCCGTTTGGCGGTGCCGCAACATCGCCAAACTGCTTTATATTCATATGCTTGGATACCCGGCACATTTTGGACAACTGGAGTGTCTGAAATTGATCGCGAGTGCGAGYTTTACCGATAAACGGATTGGGTATTTAGGGGCGATGCTCCTACTAGACGAGCGACAAGACGTGCATTTGTTGATCACAAACTGTCTCAAAAAGTCGGTTTCTTTGATGTGAAAAATGAGAGAATAACGTGTTATTTTCAGTGACCTGAACTCAACAACACAGTTTGTTGTTGGGTTGGCGCTTTGCACTCTTGGAGCGATTGCTTCTCCAGAAATGGCACGTGATTTAGCGGGGGAAGTGGAGCGACTAATGAAATCGCCCAACGCCTACATTAGGAAAAAAGCGGCTCTTTGCGCTTTTCGAATTATTAAACGTGTGCCTGAACTCATGGAAATATTTTTACCGGCCACCAGAAGTCTGCTATCTGAGAAAAATCACGGTGAGTTTTTTAACTCAAATTGGGCTTTTTTGAGACAATTTTTTAGGTGTGCTGATTACGGGGGTTACGCTCATTACGGAAATGTGTGAAAATAGCCCAGACACCTTAAACCACTTCAAAAAAGTAAGTGTATAAATTAATATGACAAAAAAATTAATAACTAAAGCTAGCCCTGAATGGTGAAAAACAAATGAGATTAATATGATTATTGGTAGATGAGAAAAATATTATATAAATGTATAACTGAACTCTTCATTGATTCTTTCTTATTGAGCTTCAGTGTTTTGGCCTTTTTTTTTATCAAGCACTTTTCATTTTAAAAGAATACGAGTTCAATAAGCCTTGGGTGTGCTTATTGAGCAATATAAGTTTTTTGTCAGGTTGAGTTTAATTTTAAAACAATAAAWTTTTTATTAGCCATAAAAATTATTTATTTATTTAGCTTGTAAATAATTGATTTGTTTCGTTTTCTTTTTCAGTTCGAAATAAAGCAAAGAACTGTAAGACTTAGCTTTATCTGTSTTATTATAACGCGTTCAAAACTTAGCTAGGTACTGAACTAACCTGAGTTTAGCTTGTTTTGTTTGTAGTATTTAGATTAAATTGTTCTATTCGAAAAAAAGGTGTCACCACACGATGATTTTTTCAGATTGTGCCCAACCTCGTCCGAATCCTTAAAAACCTGATTTTGGCCGGTTATTCCCCCGACCACGACGTGTCTGGCGTTAGCGATCCATTCCTCCAAGTAAAAATCTTAAAACTTTTGCGGGTTTTGGGCCGCAACGATGCCGACGCCTCCGAGGCCATGAACGATATTCTAGCCCAGGTTGCAACAAACACCGAAACGAGTAAAAATGTCGGCAATACGATTCTCTACGAGACTGTTCTCTCGATAATGGATATAAAATCAGAAGGCGGTTTACGAGTCCTCGCTGTTAATATTCTAGGCCGGTTTTTGTTAAATAATGATAAGAATATTCGCTARGTGGCTTTGAACACGTTGTTGAGGACTGTACATGTTGATACTTCGGCCGTTCAGAGACACAGGTCGACAATTCTTGAATGTTTGAAAGATCCGGATATTTCAATCAGGAGGAGGGCTATGGAGTTGTCATTTGCTTTGGTCAATTCGCAGAATATTAGGACTATGATGAAGGAATTGATAACATTTTTGGAAAAAGCGGATCCGGAATTTAAGGCTCATTGCTCGTCAAYCATTGTGATGGCGGCGGAAAGGTTCGCGCCGAATAAGAGYTGGCATTTGGATACGCTACTCAAAGTTCTAGTTGGGGTGAGTAGAAAATCATGTATGCAACTCTGCCGCAAAACTTAAAATGCAATGTAAAATTTTACGTTTTTTCAAAGAACACGACACTAATTTTTAAATTTTTTAAGTTTTTGTGAAGAAGAAGTTAAATAGTTAATGTTCTGTAACAGGAAGCACTAAGTATATTTTCTCATTCTTTGTTTCGTAGAAATAATTATGAAAATGTTGAATAAGAAAGTTTGCGACAAAAAATTAATTGCTTTGTTTTCGAGATGTTCAAGACATGAACATCTTATTATTGAATTTAATTGAGTTAAAACGAACAAAAATCGAAGTTCATTAAATCTATTATATTCAATTCAAATATTCAATTATGGAAGTCTTTGGACCTTAATTGACACTGTTATTACAGGCTGGGAACTACGTGCGTGATGACGTTATTTCTTCAACGATTCAATTAATATCAGAAAGCACTAATCAGCAGCCTTATATGACCTTGCAACTATACAAAGCTTTATCCGAGGATTTAATGGATAAACAACCCTTGATTCAAGTGGCCGTCTGGGCTATCGGGGAATACGGAGATCAGCTTTTACAAGCATCAATCGACGACGACACTGGAATAACTCCACCAACTGAAGAACAAGTAATCGAACTTTATCAAAAATTGCTGTGGTCACCCCAAAACACAACCGTGACCAAACAATATGCTTTGATGTCGCTCACTAAACTAAGTACTAGATTTACAGTGACTACAAAGTAAGATTTTTCGTTACGAAACGTTCTTTTGTGACATTCTTTTTGCAGCAAAATTCAACAAATCGTAAGTTCTTTCTGTTCGAGCTTGCATATAGAGTTGCAACAGAGGGGTGTAGAGTTTTCGCAATTTTTCGGCAAATATTCGCATTTAAGACCTTCGCTTTTGGAACGTATGCCTCCAATGGAAGTGGTGAGACAAACAGGGGACGCGCACACTAATGGGGATATCGAAAGCGACTCGAAAACGCCCGAGGAGAGTCCTCAACATGTCAATAGTGATTCGGTTTGTGTTTTAATTGGGTTTTTAGCGTCAGTTAATTGTGGTTTTGCAGAGCGCTTTGTTAGATTTATTGGTGGATTTCGGGGGCACGGCCCCCACACCCCCACAACCTGCCATTACTACGTCTAGTAACAAAGTAGATTTACTCGATTTGTTTAACGAAATGGATAACATTGATACGCCAGCCTTACAAACTCTACCGCCTACTGATACGAATCTGGGACTGATTGTAGAAAATAATAACGGGAGTTTGCCTATTGTAATTAACCAGAACTCGAATTTTATTGGTGGAGATTTGTTGTCTAATGATAAGACGGTTAATGGTGAGTAGATGCATAATGTTTCAGAAATTGTCTAATTTATTGTTTGAAGAAAAAGACGTGCCTACCATTACGGCTTATGATCAAGATGGGTTGAAAATGTGCTTCTCGTTGGAAAAAGTACCAGATAGTAACACTTTAACGATAAATATGGTCGCGGCAAATCAGACGTTATCGGCAATGACCGATTTCTTATTCCAAGCGGCAGTTCCTAAGGTGAGTAAAAACTGGTAGAGACTTATTTGAAAATTAATTTTCAGACATTCCAATTACAAATGATGTCGCCCTCTGGGACCGTTATGGGTCCAAACGGACAAATTACGCAAGTGTTGAGGGTAACAAATCCTAATAGGGTAAAACTATACCTACCTGTGGTTGTCTCAAGTAATTTGAAATTTTTAGAGCACTTTAAAAATGCGAATAAGGTTGTCTTACAACGTGGACGGAAATCCTGTACAGATTCAGACAGAAGTGAACAATTTTCCAACGGAAATTTGGGATTGACGGAAAACTGGCTAATTTGTGAATTTCCCACACTGTTACATATTTATAAATATACATACAAGTCTATTTTTTATTGTAGACTGTATACTGAAATCTAATATTTTCTATAATTAGATTTAGTTATTTTTTAGTGAGACACTTTGTAAATAATTGTTTTTAATATTGAGTACTTAATTATTTTAGGCACTTTTTCGATTAGGTTTTTTCATTAGATCCCCTGCAGTTTTATTGTTATTTTATCTTTATTATCTGATTAGATGTAATTTTTATTTATATCCATTTTCATGCGAGAAATAATTTAATTGCTTGTTTTGTTATACAATGTTTTTTGCGTCCATAACTTTAGATCAATAAATTGTAAATACCTAACTATTCTCTTTCAGTCGGCTTTGCCAATTCTAGGATTCTTGGTGTGGGTTTATATTTCAAAGCGTTGGGGGAAATGACCCAAGGATCATACTTGTCCTCGTCGTGTTTCTTAGCCTCCCTTGCACTGAACGAAGGTTGGGCCAGTTTCTCAATTCTTTCAGTACATTTGGCCCTTAGAGCTGACCTTTTCACGAAGCCGAGTGGTAATCCGTCGGAGCGCCGTTTCAGTCTTTCGGGAATGTGATACAACTTTTGGATGGCTTCAGTGATTTCGTATGTTAGGGCTTTGGGGTTCACCACTCCCAAGATTCGTGGGGGCACAATGTGGTACTCTTTGGGGGCGGCAAGGACATCAATGTTGGCCATTAGGTCTTCAAGAGGTTTCCATTTCTTCGGAAGTTTCTCGGGGAGGGGAATTTTCTTCGGTTGGGCCATACGATTCCAATGCTCTTGTTTCATGGCTTGGAGTTTTTCCAACGATTTGCCTTTTGGTTTCTTTGCTTTAAGTTTCTCCAATTTTCGCCTGGAAAGACATTGAGTGTTTGCTTTGCTTTTAATAGAAAATTACCTCAGCCGTTTAAGACGTCTGTCTCTCAGTTGTTTGCGGTAATAGTTGTAGATCGAGCCCCAAGATTTGTCAATCAGTTTGGCTAAAGTTTTGGCATATTTTGAGCCTCGATTCTTGTACATCGCCAAATTCACATTAAGCAATCTGAAATTGTTTAATTAAGTAAAAAATAATTTAATGTGTATAATTAAAACCTGATTGGGGGTCTGGCGAGGTGATCACTCCTGAATTCAATTCCAGGTTCCAGTGGTTCAGGTGCTTTGGAGGGTTTAGGAACCGGTGGGATGTATTTTYGTATCCTCATTCGGGGCTCGGACAGCATATTTATTCTCCAGGGCCATTTCCATTGCTTTCCGACCTTTGTTGTAGGTTCAGACGCGGTTATGTGTGGCTCGGAAAATGTAGGGTTAACAATTATATCTAATTTTAACATGATGAATAGTTATTTGATGATTTTGATGAGATGATTGATAAAAATTTGTGACTTAATAATCTCCAGGGTGATGAGTTGAAAATTCAAATTATCGGCGCGTGCAAGGCGCCAACATTGACCAGATCAAGTTGTAAAAATTTGATTATTTCCACCCAAATTCATTCCCGTTGTCTTATTTATTTAACATAATGAATTGAGGGCTATGCTAATTGGAAAATTGATGGCTTTGGGGCTTATTTTGCGGTCACAAGTGGTGAGTAGTATGTTGGCCCCACTGCTTGTCAGTGTTCGTAAACTTTTTAGGCAAGCATTTTGTCAACTTTCAAATAATCTTATATTCACCGAATTATTGCGTTTTTTCAGATAAACTATGTTTTAAAGTAGAGTCAAAATGGATCTGCCTCAGCCGCCTCAAGGTATGTGTTTCAATTTTTTGAAAATACCGGTTTCATTCCGTTGCAAATCTGATTCGATTGAGGTTATGTTTGTTGTTAGATACTGAATTAAGAAATATTATCGACAAACTCGCCCAATTTGTTGCTAGAAATGGCCCCGAATTCGAACAGATGACCAAAAACAAACAAAAAGGCAATCCAAAGTTTCAATTTTTGTATGGAGGAGAGTATTATAATTATTATCAGTATAAAGTCACCACAGAGCAAGCAGGTATTTATTTGTTGATTTTTTACAATGTGCCCGGGATAATAAATGGTTTCAGTTCTAAAACAACAAGGAATTTTGGAAAACAGTCCGAGTAACTGGAATTCACCATCCACAATGCACAATTCAGAAATTGATCAAATTTCAATGCAGCAAGACAGTTTGAGGGAACAGATCAAACAAAGTGAACAGAATTTATCGGCTCAACATACGGTGTTATTGCAACAACAGCAAGCCCAAGCTGAAGCTATTGTAGCTAAATGTGAAGCTACAGCTTTGCAAAAGGAGGCTGAAGCTTGTGATATAATTTTACAAGACATTTATAACATTTTGCAACCTATTATTGAGAGTTGTACAAAGGATAGTATAAGTAACGGCAAGTCGTGGTTTTTGCAACATGCAAACAGTAAGGAGAAGGCTTATTGCATAGTCCACTGTTTATTAACAAAGTAAGTAGTAATTATATTTTAGTATTTGATATAAATGTAATTTTGTTTGTAGAGTAATAGAAGCGTCCATTTTTTCGCAAAAATTGCACGTCATTTATCTAGTTAACGACCTCTTACATCATTGGTAAGTTTATCAATAAGTTTTTTCGTATACCAGTAATAAATAATAAATACCCGTAGTGCGAGAAAAAACGCGAATGAGCTCAAAGAAGCTTTAGAATCTGTAGTAGTTCCAATGTTTTGTAACGCCCACATAAGCGCGACAGAAGAACAACGAGTAAAATTAGAAAAACTATTAAAATTATGGGAATCTAAGGCTAATTATTTAGACCCAAATACCGTCGAAAAAATGCGTCAACCAACCCAAAGTTATCAACAATATCAGTCTAACTTAATGATGAAATATGCGTCAGAAATTGGATCGTTAGCTCAACAGACAAAACAAACTTATGATAACTACCAAGCGCAACATCAAGCTTTCGTGTGTCACGCCATGCAGCAAATTGCCGATTTGCAACAACAGAAGCAAAACATCGAACAACAGCAGCAACAGCCGCCGCCGCCACAACAGCAACCGCCCCCGATACAAAACACCAACATAATTCCACTGGAAACCATCCAAGCGAGTTTAAAACAAACCATTCAAAATCTCAGTCAACAAAACAGCACGCAACCAACCAATCAGAATTTTCATCAACCGCCGCCGAATCAACCCGCGAATGAGTTTCTTCCAATAAATCCCTCGATTCCGCCTCCGAATATAACGACGCATCCGCCGCCACCGATCGGCCAGTCTCCCAATTTACCAACGAATGGAATGGATAATCCGTTCTCACAACCACCTCCGGGATATTTCCCCCCTCCCGGAGTTTTTCCCGATTTTTCTAAACCACCACCTGGATTCGCTCCGAATCCTGACCCGCCAGTCGTGGAGGAATTAGTACCGACGGCGCCCTATTACGACTTGCCGGCTGGACTCATGGTGCCGCTGATCAAGGTATGAGTTTTGTGCAGGTTATTGTTATTTTAGATGGGTTTTCTGGGAAATTTTGATACGTGACTTAAAAATCATCTTGGCTATGCTAAAAGTCATATCCGAGTTGATTTTGTCATAGCATTTTGAAGCACATCTTTTTAAAATCTTGGCTTCAAAAATATTATTCGAATTTAGCAAAATTCCATGCAGTGGTTTTAAATTAATGTTTGTCGTGCTTGAAAAGTGAGACATTTGACGTTGATGGATTCTCGAAGCTGTTGAAAGTGTAGTGTGAATCCGAGTGTCCATTTTGTTCGATGTCTCAGAAWGTACATATTTTTTAAACTAGATTTTGTGAGTGTTTCCGACCATGTAATAGTTTTTGACACACTTATTCTAGTTGGAAGATACATCATATAAACCGTTAGATCCTAAAGATATTAGGTTGCCACCACCAGCGCCCCCTAGTGATCGTCTCCTGGCCGCTGTGGAAGCCTTTTATTCACTACCCAGCCACGAACGGCCCCGAGACAGGTAAAACTTGACAATTAGGTCACATTATTGTCTCAAATATTCCTTTGATATAACACACATACAAAAAATATTTTATAACTAATTATGCTGACGTGTCGTTTCTCTTATAAACAATGTGCGTTGTAAAAACAGTGAAGGTTGGGAAAAGCTAGGTTTGTATGAATACTACAAGGCAAAGAACAATGCGAAACGTCAAAAAGAAGAGCAAATCGCCGCCGGCCTCCGTGAGAAATCCAGAAGCCCGAGTCCTATAGTACTACCGATGGAGAAGGAACCGTCACCACCTAAACGACGATACACAAGTAAATCGCCGTCGCCACAAAGGCGTCGCTCGAAATCGAGGTCCAAGTCGAGGTCGCGGTCGAGAAGTCCGCGGACTCCACGGCGGAGACACTCGAGGAGTGGTCGGAGGCGAAGAAGCGTCTCTAGATCGCCTTCCAGGTCGCCAATAAGGCGGTCACCATCACCACCTCCAACGCTGCTAAGTTTCAGGTATAAACATTCGAGTTTTCGTAAAAATAAATCATTGCTTTTGGTTCAGTAGTGCTCCACCAAGTTTCGTGCGGAATGAGAAACAAGAAATCGACTCGACCAATAAGGGACATCAAATGTTGAGGAAAATGGGATGGGGTGGYAGCGGTTTGGGGGCTAACGAGCAGGGAATCGATGCGCCTATCTCAGGGGGGGATGTTCGCGATCGGCAAGATCAGTTTAAAGGTGTAGGGTGTAATTTGAACGATCCATATGAAAACTTTAGGAAAAATAAAGGGGCCGCGTTTATTACGCGAATGAAGGCGCGAGCCGAGGAGAGAGCCAATGAGAGTAAGTTACTTGACTATTAGGGTCTTTTTCTATTTCATTTTGGTTACGTTTTTATATGATTGTCAAAAAATTGTATCTTACGTTAGATAACCATTTTTACCTTAGTTCAAAGACTATTTGACCAAGTAATAAAACGTAATGTTTCCAGTACCTTTATGACTGTATATTTATGATTTGCAAGTGGATTTCATGTATTGTAAAGAAATGTACAAATGTACAAATTTACGTCGATTAAATAAAAATCCTATTTTTAATTAAGTCCAGGTTCATTGTAATCTATCTGAATTAATTAGGCCGAAAATAAATTGTTCCAAACAAATGTTAGCTTTATTGTGTGCGATTAAAAAAACACCCATGTTTTATACATGTTTAATACAAGAACCTCTGATTTCTGATCTACATGTAATAAAAATAAAAACCCAATATAAAGAAAATAAATCATAAAATTACGATTTTCATTTAATACCTTCATTATGACCTACCACTACTTATCCTATCTATCCTAAATGATGCGGCGCTGCTGGTGATGCCACCGCTGCTGCTTGTGGACTTGGGGGTGTAGGCGTATTAGTCGGTGCTCCTTCACTGGGCGGTGCCGAATGCGTCATTTGTGGTTGTTGCATCGCCCACTGACCTTGATCCGCCTGCAATCTCTGATGAGCCTGCTGTCGCGCCCTAAACTCTGCAGCTTTCAATTGTTCTAAATGAAATTGTTGTCTTTCCGTAATCAATTGCTGTCTCTGATACTCCAAACCCTCTCTTTCGCGTTCCATTGTCGTTTCCAACTCCTCAAAGTGTCTCAATTTTATTTCTAATTTCTTCATTTGCGTTTCAACCAACAACGCAACTAGAGACTTAATCTTGCGTTCTTCTACGGCCGCCAAATGTTTAGCTTTAACTGCGGCAGCGGCCAATGCCGCTGCCGCCGCACTCTGCATTTCGCTGTCTTTAACAGTCCTTTCAGGTTTTCTTTCCGGTTCTTCAGGCTTTTCTGTTTTGACAGGTTCGCTCGGTGTTTCACTTTTAACAGGTTTATCTTCTTTCTCTTCTTTTTCAGGTTCAGGTTTCTTTTCTTCTTGGGTTTTCTCTTCTTCTTTATTCTCTGGTTCTTTCTTTATTTTTTCTTCTTCTTCTTTCTCGGGTGCGGTTCCTGCGATTCCAGTCAAAGCTAGATTCGCAGCAGGATCATATTTGCCTTCGGTTGAACTCGCCTCGACATTTTTCAAATGAGCGTCCATTACGGCCGCAGGGACTTCATCTTTAATATTGGCAAATTCGATCATTGCTGATTTCGCTGCAGCCGCAGCGACTCGAGGGTCAACAATCGAGGCTAGAAATGCAACAGTTGACATAATAGGATTTCCAGCTTTGCTGAATGGTATTGGCTGATAAGCCAAAGGCCCCAAAGCGCCCCCAGCGTCCGGATCTTCCAAATATGGGTCTTCTATAGGCAAACGCAAAAAGTGCAATATGCACTCGTCTTGAGTCCTCGAGCCGACGTGCTCGCAAACTTTATTCCAATCATCTTTATACATCTCTAAGCCTTCTAATAAAAGAAGTGTTTCTTGTTCGGTCCAGTCTCGAGTCAAAGATGCTGCACTTTTGTTTCTCAATGCTGCCGGTTTTTTCGCATATTGATCCAGTTTTAAACCGAAATTATTCATTTGTTCGCTACCGTCTCCTTTTTTGATATCTTGTGACCGATCTAAGTCCAGTAGGGTTTTTGCCGCACTCGGTTGTTGTGTTTTTGGGGGATTCACAGGTTGAAGGCCCGACGGAGTGTCTGACAAAATATGGAAATGGGAAGTTGGTGGTGGACCCATGGGTGTGGGTCTTGAATCAGTGTCGACTTGATAATTAATCAAACCCCATTGTTCAAGGAAAGCGTGGACTCGCATAATGGCACAAACATCACCTGCCAGATTTCGACGACAAGCTGTACTAGTTATGTATTCAGTCGGGTTTAATCTGTACGTATCAATCATGAAATTCCGGTAAGCGAGATAAATTTCCGGCGTTTTCGACTTATTTCGACCATTGAAAAACTCCGCGAGGGCTCTTTTCTCGACTTCGTGAATCGCATTATAGTCAAACCAAGCCGAATATGACGGTATTATAATATGATGGGTTTGTTCTGTAACGTTATCTTCTTGTCCATCATCTTGAGTATTGCTATCGCTATTTTTGCCAGTTTGCGAATCTTCACCTCTTTCTTCATTTTCTTCAAGATCGGTGACTGAGCCGCCTTTCAAAGGTTGCAATTCATGGTCTTTTTTACTGTTCTGATTGGCCATTGACGAGTTAACTTCGACTATGTTCGGTTCGGGCGTCGGCTCTTCCATATCTTTCGTCAAGTCTTCAGTTTCCATGTCTTCAGGTCTTTGTTTCTTCCCAATAGCCGGACTTCGGCCACTTTTACGCTTCCCGCCTTTAGATGGTGGTGAAGGTGATCGTTTCCTCTTCTGTTTCTTCTTTGACCTGTCATCATTTGAGGGGTTCATAACATCCTCGACCGACATTCGCAATGGGTGAATCTTCTTCTGGCCCAACTCGTTTACTTCATAGTCTTCTTCTGCCATCCATTCGTTATAATGATCGGTTTCCAGCAACCAAGAACAGGATACTCGCCATGCTTCCGTTCTAGGACTTGGGACGTCGTTACTTAAACCTTCACCAGAAATATCTAAACTAATCCAGCCGTCGTACGAATTCGGGAAGTAGTACCAATGCATCATGACCATCTTATCGCGTTTGAAGACAGGACGTCCGTATTCTTCCTCCACTGGGTCCACAGGGGGGTAGCAAATGTGAGTGGCCATTTCTTCAGTTTCGGCAACTTGAGCCATTTTGCGACACACAATTTCGCGTAATTTCGCTGCGAGATTCTTGTCGATTTCGGGCCGGATGTAAACAGAGGGAACTGTATAAAACCTGTTCTGGACTAAAACTTTTTCCATGCATTTCAACATCTCGAAAACGCGCTCCAACTTGCCAGTGCTCTACGATACAAACAAACACGTTTTCCCATGAGGAATATTGTCTTAAAAAATACTCACTTTTCCTGTTGGTATTTCAAATCGACGCCAATTATGTTCGCTCTTAAACTTGTACGCTGCCAAAAGCATGTGGCACAAGGAGCCCCCGGGCTTAAAATCCAGAAAATGTCTCACTGGGATTCTAATCATGGGCGGTTTTTGCACGTTTTTGCCCAAAAAATCCTCCTGGAATTGCATCAATTGCAAAACCAACATGGAGAGACTCTTATTAGTGACAGGTTCGGCTTGAAGATACTGAAATAACCTCTATAGAAGAGTAATTAACATTCAAAACCTACCTTTTTGCCATTTTTCTGAAGCCACTGCCTCACAAGCTCGAGAGCTGCGAGGGTTTCCGGCGACTCGAAATATTTCACGTTAGGACCTCCGTCCTTTTTGGGGCCGTAGCCCATCATTTTGCACGTAATAAAGAAACGGTTTGCGACTTACAAGCTACAGTTGGGGTTATGACAAAACTAAATTGTACATTACTTTAGTAAAGTTTGTAGAATTTTATGAATAAATAGTGTAAAATTGGTGAAATAAACCGACGCTAAAATATCACAATAATGTCAACTGTCAAATATGCTAAAGCTATGCAACCAATTATACGCGCTTTGAGGCGGCAAGTTTGAATTTTTAGCGTGAGCGTGTTTGAAACACGTGCCTACGCTTCACGGGCCGATGCACGTTCACTGTCATGGACTGGAAATGTTCACATGCATAGAAATAACATATCAAAACAACTTATGTAAGCCGAAACGTGTGAAATAAGCGGTTGTGAATTTTCCTCGCGTTACCTAACATCTCACGTGAAACGTGACCATCACTAAGAAATTTACGAAAGAAATTGTTTTTCGAGTTGTCTCAAGCTCGATAAACTTATGTTGGGGGTTAAAGGGGATGAAATTGCCGCTTTGGGGACCCAATTGTCTAGCACCCATGGTTGAAAGTGTCCATTGGATTGGTGTAATAAATAAGGATCACGTGGGTTTCCACGTTASTTTGAACGTGATCTCTGGTTTAGCTCATGTGCAAACAAACAAACTATCCCCGCGTTACGTTCCGGTGCACGAATCAGGCCGCAGTCTTCGCCCGGAGTATTCCGGTGAAAATCCGCGCTTATCATCGAATCGGCGCTCGTAAATCCGGCAGCGTTCCCCGAGCGCCAGTTATGTGGTAGTCGTCACGTAGAGTCGGAGGCAGCGCACCGATTTCGCCTTGTCTTGGATTAAATACTCCGCTCACGTGTACTCTAGCGTGTTCGTCGAGTCGGTATCAGTGGCCGAGGAGTAGATGAAAGTGAAGCGCGTTTGCYATTGCCGCGACGACACCTGTCACAAATCTCCACCGAATTTTCGGAAAAGTGCTATGTGCTAATCTGTCCTGAGGAAAATGGATATGACGCAGGCTTACTGGGAGGAAAACTCGGCCAACATTCAGAGGGTCAAATACGAAGGGTGAGTTTGGGCGAACGACGCAAATTTACAATCAAACCAGTTTGTGCGAGTTGATTTTTTTCATGATTTGTGGATCGGACGCCACTGACGCATTTTATTGTAAACAATTCAAGGGGGCACCGGACCCCCACTACACTTTGACGCAATATTATTTATGCAGGAAGTCGGAGTATTTTTGGACGCGCACGTGATACCAATTAACGGATCGGACGCTGAGATGGCCAAAAAATAAACACCCCCTTCGTACAGGACCGGATTTTACGCATTTAASTCCATTGACGAAGCTTCATCAAATTTCAGCTTAGCGAAGCGCACGTGGATTAACTATCAACATTTTCTACTTTTGTTGCAACAGACAACTCTATTACCTAATTAAGAAAATTGGTAACTCAATTAATTCAATTGTAATGAAATTTTATTTTAGACAAGTTGATAGTTACCCCGACAGATGACCCACAATTTTTAATCCATATGGTGCCGGTTTTTTTCAAAAAAGTTTTATTATGTTTGTGCTAATAGTAATCGCAGACACACCTTATCTATGGCATTAGTCCAAATCGAAGCAATAAAATAAATAATTACACTCGCATTATATAAGAATGAAAACAACGTGCAGAACATTAAAAAGGAAATATGTTGGCATGTTTAGTCTGTCTCTTAATTGCAGTTKCATTAATAGAAAAAATAATATTTCCAACCAGAGTTTAAATAYCAAAAATGTAGTTGCGAAAATTTTTCGATAAAGATTCACGACAGGTGTGAACTAGATTAAATATGCCAGTAATTCGATCTTCAGAGATAAATATTTGTTCCATTTTTTCCATTTTCACTAACATGACAGTCCAAATACCAATTAAACATGTCTTCAAGTTCTAYGCTATTAAACACGAATAATAAATTTATTTTTATTGCTCAAATGTTTGATAAGGATATCTTCAAATTTTTACATTTCGCTGGTGAAAGTGCCAAAATAAGCCCCGCCTGTCGTAACATTGCAAAATTTTTAATTTGTTCTGTACTTTTATCTAATCGCAATCGCCCCGCAGGTGTAAAACGCAGTCACGTTTTCGTCCCGAATTTTCGTGGAAATGCGCACGAGCGGTGCGGTTTTTTCCTAAATGACGAATCGAAATCTCTAAAAGAATTTCATAACATCCTTCATGTCGGGTCATAAAAAATCGAAGATGCGTCAAAGGCGCTTGTGGAAATTTTATCGTTTGACGTTTGGGTCACGTGAGCATCACGAGATGTCAAGCGATCAATAAATAAGCGTTTTTTTATCGTTGATTGACATCTATTATCGTTAACGAATCACGTGGCTGTGATTTCGGAAAGTCCCCTGGGTAGCCTTGGGGGGTGGCCTTGAAGGACAACGACTCGATTTTACAGGATTCGCGATTTTTTTCGAATTGATTCGGGAACGTGTCGGCATTTTAATTTTGGTTCGAGTTCATGGCAAGGTCACACCTACGTTTTTCTCTCGCGTAGCGTAAACAAAACAGGACGAACCGGAATTTCCTATTTATTTGAATACGAATTTTTCGCGGCGCTATGGAAAAAATAACGCACCAGCAAATGTGCATTTTTTTAATTGTAAAGCAATATTTACGTAACTAAAAGCCTTGCAATGTGATTAATTGCGTTCGAAACATTCAAATCGCGCTATTTCTAAACGTATTTTGCTTATTTTGTTAGTTTTGCACAACACAATCAACACAGACGGTGAGGTTTGACATTCATTTTTCATATAAATTGTTCTTTATTATTATTATTCTTATTTGCCAGTTTCAGTTAGAAAATTGTAAAAAACATAATTCTTACATTATTATACGAACGAAAACTGGATTGGGAAACGCAGACAAAACTGTCAAAAATGATGAAAAACATGTAGATAGTTTGGCCCATGTTTGAAGAAAGCGGAACAAAATTTTTTGTTTTCACAGCCAACTGGACTCGACATTCTTTTGTAGAAACTCAGTAGTTTCTTTTAATAAAGATAAAATCTACTTTACGAATGAAAATCCCCTTTTGTTAGTGGTAAAGTAGCAAAGAAAGTAATAAAAAAAAAACAGAAATTAAAACAATGAAAGAAATATTTACATATGTACAGTTGCGGAATTAAAATTTCGGGCAGTATTGTCATTTTCATAATGTAAACTCTAAAACAACCTTTACATTAATAACCTCATTTTTACTCTTGTCATGTTTATGTCATTTTGCCTTATTTACTTTCAAAAATAGTGATTTGTGGCATAATAACGGGTAGGCAGTAGATCAAAACGATGATTTAATTATATTTAGTTCAATTAATAAATTTCCTAAGACAGACAAACTGTTTAATTAACAATTTTAACAACAAAAAAAAGTTTAATTGTCAAATGTCAGTCATGATGACAGTAAAGGGTAATTTACAGTGAASTTTTTAAAGTGYCAGAAAAATACTGTCCGTAATTGCAACTGTACAGTGTCTCTGTRTARACACGAGTAATAATGKGCGCGAAWTTTTTTTTGAAGCAACCATCATRACATTTCAAAYACAACATGGATATTAAAATATTTCGTTGTAATTAGTTACTCGTGGGACAGCCTGTATATTAGTACTTCTAAATTCTCTTGAYAATTTCTTCTGTTTCAATAAYTGRTATAGCAWGAGATCTCATTTGATCATTAAGAATCAATTGATAGTCACACTGAAAAAATCCATATCCCACTTTTTCTACGAACTTGCAATCACAAACGGGAAATGTTTTTTTTTACAGAGTGAATTGGATTTTAATTATACCATCGCAGTCAAAAAATATTGGTACAGTAAAATTTTGTCGGTTTAAATCTGGTCTYAGCATTGCTTGCGTTAGCAGCTCTTGACCATGATATGCGAAARCACTATTTTATAAAAATTTCGAACTCTAAAACTTATCTATGTAGTTTATCMARTTTGGCACCAAAAAGCTGTCATATCTGTATAATCTGTGGTTTGACTAATACTTAACCCCTACTTGGCATATCCCAAACACATACAAAAAAAGAATGTAAAAATGTACCTAAAGTAAAACTTGAATTTTGGAAGTTTCTTAAGTAACACCAGTACCAYTATTTAGATGAGACAAAACAAAAATTTAGACATTTCAGCAATAATCACCATAAATAAACACATCACAAAATGGAACCAAAGTGCAAACCTCATTTTTTTTTAATATCATTGACATAAAATTGAACGGAATTTACTTTGCAAGTGGACAAAAGTTGTTTCAACCCGGTTTATATAAATCTTTGTTTATATGATATATTTCAAACATCTTTTTATAATGAAAACATACCTAGCAATTGAATGAAAAATAAAAGTTTCGCAGTTAAGATTTTTTTTCCAATGAAATTCATTATACAGGATGTTTCACATAATTTTACGAGGTCTGCGCCTGTAAGATGCAATCAATAATACATATTCCGATACGAACTCGATTACAAATTTTTAAAAATTGGATGATCTTCTCTAGTTTGTTCACCCTTTCAAAAATTACAACGTTTTTAGTTAGTGATTAAGATAAATAAACTACCATCATATTCATGCCGTCTCTTGATAGAACAAATGATAATTGTTTCTGAAAAACTGCACTTTATGACTATTAATGAAGCATTGATTAGTTTGACAACTACTGTCGTGGGTTTCCAAAAATTAAATAATTAAATGTGTATTTTTTGTATRCAGTGTTCTGTGACTTTTGTATATTTGGGTGCGTACATTAGGCGCAAGCCTCGWAAAGTTATGTGAAACACCCTGTATAGGTATGATAAGGTAAAATGGAGATTTATTAATAAACTTTACAAAAATTTYAGTGTTAATTTACAAAAAAAATATTTAAAAAATTTATTATGTTTCTCCAATAAGCAAGAAAGATTTGGGTTGGCTTCAAACAAAGGGTCATATTGTTTCAAGAATTTCGACAGCAAAATCTCGTATTTCAAAATAACCTTAAAATAGTTTCCTAATAAATGCTTATATTTCCTGAAAACTAGCGAAAAWTACACGGTGATTCAGCTTAGATGAGAAATCCTAATTTATTAAACAATGATACCGTAAAATGGGGTTACTTTGACACGTTATGGGGATACTAATTTTGTTTCATTTTCAGT